CTGGGGATGTGATTGCATATGGGAGAAGAAAAAAAGCTACTGCTGCTTAGTTTCAAAACTTAAACGGCCCCATTTCCGCTTAGGGCTCGATAGAATGGATTTTAGTTTGCAACCTTTCTAGCGATTATTGCATAGTTTGGTGAATTATTTTTAGATTTGCAGATCATTTGGTTTAAGTAAAAACAGTCATTCTGCCCTCTCCAGTTCTGCTCTCTCATTTCTCATTGGGTACAATTCAATCAAACTGCTGTATTATCACCACAGCACCAATACGGCGCCAGTGCGAGTTCACCATAAAACAAGCCGTTTAATGGCTAGCCTGTGTTTTTCAAACAAATCAGGACATATTAAGCGATGCAGATTGGTCGTTTGAATGGTTAAATCACTCAGTAGTGAAATGGCTTCTTTGCTATGGAATTTATTTTTGGACGGGAATAGTCAAAAAGTGGTTTTGCGGTAGTTTGATTGGATTTGGCCCTCGGTCCTCAGTCATTCCCAAGCCATACACTGCCCTCCAGTCTTTGCTAATCTGAACTTCCCCAAGAAGCACTTACAGAGAGATCTTCCCCATTCACCCCGGGTAAACACTCTGAGAGAAATAGGCCTTTCGGAAACTTTGTATATTGCATAGTGTCGAGAATGGCTCCGGAAAACACTTTGCAGTGACTGCCCCAAATTAACCCCTCGCGTAAACCGCATTAACGACAGCGCTATGAAATACTGGATGTCAATTACTCTGTTAAAGCTAACGATATATGTATACATATATATATATATATATACACTGTATATATATATTTATATATATACTGTATATATATATATATATATATACTCTATATAGCTGATTAACCCTGAATGTATACACAGCATGTGGCAATGCTCGATAAACTTTTGACAAAGTTTGCATTATAGTGGTCCCATATAACATTCGCCTGACTCGTATGACCAGCGTGTTCCCCCATGACCAGCACAGAGTCATTACATGGGTCAGTCAACTCAGAATGACTAAATAAGCAATCGATTAATTAAATTTCAAATTGCTCCCAAAAATGGATGCCGAAGCAATTAAAAAGCACTATATCTGTAAACCGATGCTTGCTGAATGAACTAATATTGCCCAAAGAAATGTAATAAAATAAACATTTAAATAATATAGTAAGAAAATAAATATTAATCATTCAATTCATACGTTTTTAAATAGACATCTAGGTTATTTATTTGAGTTTTTGACTCAGCGACGCTGGGAACAGCGCGCTTGAACTCAGTTCTGCATGTCATATTCACCAGGGAGTAATTTGTTCATCTGTCCAATAAGTTGGCCAAAATATGTGTTTAGACATAGCGCTAACAATGCGCTCAGGGCTTAGAACTGAACTTCCTCTAAGAGTTTATTTGCACTGCACTACTTGAACAGATAATAAGTAGAGAGGCGATCCAAGAGTTAAGAAAATGTTTGCAAACAGTGAGAGAAAAAAAAAAAAAAAAAAGCTCCTGTAGGTCTACAGAATGAAGCTGAAGGAATGCAAAGAGAAGTTGTCGGTCCCTTCCTGTGCATCTCTAACTCGTTTCATAAATAATGTTTGGTCGTCCAGTGTGGATCGATGACATCTACTGTTGCTGTACTCGACGGCGTTTGAAGTGAACTTGAGTTTTTTGGTATTTTAATGAATTCCTGCACATCGATATTTAAAGATAGCTCTCACCAAATGGGAGAGTTTCACAAAAAGGCTAGTGGCAATTTGAGATTAACAGCTAAAGTAGTAGTAAAATATCTGTTAATAAATAAATAGTACACTCTTATTTCTATAACACATGCCAACTATTTCACATCAATGCTAGATTCAGTTATTTATATACGCATACATTTTATTTGCTGTAATCTCTGTAAGATATATTTCATATACAAATGGCTATTTATTGATTTTTTTTTTCGATAGTATTTTCCTTTTGTTTCTAGAGATATTTTCATGGAAATAAGTCTATCTAAGAGCTCTCTACATTATGGCCTAGATGACTCCCGCTGGATGACCTTGACTCGACCTACAAGCCGATTTCCCCTCGAACGTGTAAAACTCGTCGAATATGAAGTGATAAACATAGAATTGGACATTCGAGATGTTTTCACACTGGTGCATGCGTTTTTCCAGTTGAGAAGGAATGTGTCCCTGTATAGCCTCGGAAAATAAACCACTGTTTTGTCTTTTTTCTTTTTTTATGCGTGTGTGTTTTCACTTTGCGTTTGTATATGTGTGCACGATGGCTAAGTTTGGACTGGCAAATTGGTCTGAAGTTAAGAGCTGTCACCAATGTTGCGTTTCTTGCCAAAGAGGTTCGAGGCATCTCTGTTGCGTAGATTTGGCTGGATCTTGTATCCATGGGGACTGACAGACCACCGCCACCCACCACGAGTCTCCATTCCAGTAGGTACTGCAGCAGACGGACACGGCTTGTTCTGCAGCAGTTGGAAGAGCATGGTGATCTCGGGCCCTAATCGGGTCAAAAGATTTGCCCTCACCAGGTCCACCGTCTCATCGTCACACTCCATCAAACTCTGCAGTAGTTTCCCATAAAACCTGCAGCGAGACAGAGAAAACTCACGCTGAGCCAGTGCGTCAACAAATTAGCGGGTTAAGCAGCATCAGAAATCTACAGAATTCAAAATGAACATGTTAAGACCATTTATATTTTTTTGAATGCCTTACAAATAATAATTTTTTACAATGTTGGTTGTTGCCACAAAATCAGTCTGAATTCTAGCAAGCTCATGATAGATAACGATTAAGGAGTACTATCTACATTATTAAACAGTTGCTCAGTTTCCACTGTTTCCTCTTTTTTATGCAAATTTTGAATTTGTACTTAGGAACACGTGGATGGAATTGTTGATTAATCAAGATTAATTGATTTGACAGCCCTAGAACAAATGCAAGTAGCTGTTTTTTGACCGTCTTAAGTAAGTAAATATTTACATGCAATTTAATAATATTTTAAAATGTGTACATAACATTATTGAACTTTAACGATATCTGCAATACATTTATGTTGGTTCTGTTCTGGTTACTCTGGGGGGTTATCGCTGCTCTCATCCATGCTCTCATCCATGCTAGGCTGCATGGATTCGCAGGGAGTTCTTGCCCAGAACAGAACCATACCGCCAATCCAAACTGTATGCTAATTGTCAATCATCTTTGACGATAGTGGTCCTGACAGAAATTTCTATTGTCTTGGAAATACGTTTAAAAATTTTTAAATGTGCTGCTGAATGTACAGACAAGCATTTATGGTAACTAAATATATTTTAATGTAATTTCTTTTGAAACTTCTGTGTATTTTTGTTCAATTTAAATTATATTCACTTTAAATGTAATATTGAATAACACACTACAGTTAAATATATAATCTTTACATGTGCTTTATAGTATGTTAGTCAACACATCAAAATAAGTGTACTTTTTATATCATGACAAAAGTTTATTAATAATGAATGACTTAAATCTTATTTAAAGTAAAACTTTTAATTTCAGATGATTAAAAGTGCACTTTTTAAAGTCTACTTAAGTTGTGTTCAGAAACATAGTCATGAAAGTGTACTATTTATATACTTAAGTGGTCTTTTATTTCAGTAATATTATATTATCTGCAGGTACATTTTTTTTTTTAAATATACTTAATGTTTTATACTTTAAAATATGTACCACCTAACTGATTCAGATTAATTCCTAAATCTAGCATGATAGTTTGGTCAACAACTCTGAAACCCTTTTTGTGTTTTTGTGTACACCAAAAGATGACATTTTTTCATCTTGTTCATGAGTCTTACCTGTTGGGGAAGTGGCTGGGAAGCTGAGCCACATCTGCAATGGCTTCTGGGTTTGATTTGGCCACTGTACAAATATCCTGCTTGCTGTAACACTCCTCTTGAACCTCCGAAATCATCCTCTGGAAGGTGGAGCACCGTCTGACTGTTAGAAAGATCTTGGAAGTGATGCCATTGGCGATGCACTTCAAGCTTTCTTTCACAAAAGCCTTGCCCTGCAAAATGAACAGGAAACCATAAGTCAAGCACAGGCCTGAACTGTGACTTCAGTCCATCTTTTAATTAAGTGGAACCTTGGCCATTAAAAAGTAGTAATGGTTCTCAAACAACTAATTTTTTTTGAACCAGTTCTTTTCAATGATTCATTTTAATCAATTTGCAAAGTATTAACTTCATAAAAAGAAATTTGTTTTAAGGTCAAACTGGCGGTCAGCTCACTAAGGCAACGTTTATTGTGATATAATGTGAGTCTAAGACCATCAGTTAAGAAAGTGTTTATGAATCACTTTGTAATAAGAACTTTTGAAAAGAATAGCTCCCATCGGGACTTTCAGATCTCAGTGGAATTCAACTGCATTCATTTGACAGGATTCATCCAATCCCATTGCTTCTTAGCTTCCTACTGTCTGCTGAGAAGGCGCCTTTGACTTCAATAGGATATTGTGTATCCATTGATGAACTGATATATCTTTATTGTTCTTTGGCTTGAATTGTATACAAACGTACATACCTGAGTGTCGAATTTAGCAGCACTGTAGAGAAAGGACTTGCAGATGTCGTGCATGCCATCTGTGTCACACGTTGAGTTTTCAAGACAGGCGAAGGCACCGCAGCCCACCTGGAGCGCACTGTTCAAGCAGCGCGCCACATCCGCTGCAAAAACAAAATCACCGTTAGATTTGACAAGAACATTAGCAGAATCTAGAGAGCAGTCTTGAGCACATTTCTTCTTTTTATAAGCATAAATGTACTTCAAGTAATATTTGTCAAGTCCAAACCAAATTTGGCAATATACAGTATATACTGTATGATATATAGGTATAGGTACCCATATAGAATGCATTAGTGCCCACCCACATTTTAGCTGGTGCTGGTTCCGGAAGTATTCTTCCCATTCATTTCTCCCATAGGAATTTATAAAAAGGCTTTGTTAAAGCGTTATAAACCATGAACCAACCAACCAGCTATGAGAGGATTCACCACAGTACAAACTTTAAATTTGACGCAAAAAATGTGGCGGTAACACTTTAATTTAAGGACTAACTAGTTGTTTACTAGCATGCTTATTACTAGCAGATTGGCTGTTTATTAGTACTTATAAAGCACATATTAATGCTTTATTCTGCTATACCTTATTTTAGATCCCTTAAGGAGGAGGAGTGGGCTAAAGAGCTTGTCTGGCATGTGATTTGCTCGCTGTGACTCTCTGATTGGTGGAATTTTCTTTACAGTATTACATCATGGGCAATGTAGTTTTTCACCAAGAATTCCACTATTAAACAGGATTGTTTAAAAAAAAATTCAGTTAACACTGAACAACAGATGGGTTCAACAAAAACATATGCAATCAATTAAAAACCTCACAGTTTATTGATTGTACAACAGGTCTGTCTTTAAAGGTTGATCAGTTATTGTTAAAAATCAATTTCCCCATGGAGAAAATGAATGGAGTTTTGACTTCCGGAACGCAACTGCTGTACTCAATATCCGTCCATAAAAGCTGCGAATGCTTTGCATACCCAAGACATTTGAGAGAATGAGTTTGGGGACTGGCTTAATGATATTAACATTACTATAAATTTCCTCGTCATTTGAGGTGTAACATAAAGCTAATGAACTTCCTGGTTTTGCTGAGTTAGATGTGTTCCTAGGTCAACATATTTTGTTGACCCTGGAACAACATTTTAATCCAAAAATTTAGTCTTGACCATATCCCTACACCTAAACCTAACCTTAACCATGAGTAATCCCTAAAATCAGAGGAAATGATAGATGAATGACACTGATGTACAAGCACCAAATCTAGAAAGTCTACTTACTTAACACTAATTGTAAGTCTTAAACTTCACAAAAACTATAAACTGGTTCTTCAAATCTGATTGGTTAATCACAATGTTGTTCCAGGGTCAACAAAGATGTTGATCCAGGAACATGTCGCACTTGGTAAAATTAGGTTCTGCTAAAGCTAATATAACAAAATTATGGGAATACGTAACTGTCCGTGAATTGTTTGACAAACAACTGCAATTTTCTGCAAATAAGTTACGGAGGGATTTGGGTCATTATTGTTTCACGTTGTCATTGGTTTGTTGGCATGTGGGTGATTTCATGCATGAGGAAAGCGGTCTGTGAAATGCTCGCCCATATAAAAAAAAAAAAATACGTTGCCAGATCTTAATTACCAAAAATGTTGAAAGTCCACTGAAAACATATAATTTTTTGACACTGACAAAGTATGTTGAATGTATGCATTATTTGGCAACATGCTTAAGCAAACTGAACATTTCTGAGGATTTTTCTTCCATTTGTTTTCCCCATGCTTGACAAAAAATATTTCAGATTCTCAGCTCGGTCGTTGAAACAAATGAACATCCTTCTACTACTTGGACAGTTCAGCTTGTACTTTCTCAAAGACCTGGAGAAAAGCCACTGAGGGTTATTAAGGGAACAGTCTTTGGAGACGGTCTGGACTCCCAGTGTGAGGAACGGGGCAGTTAATGCTGGAACATATTCTCGTGGGAAATGATTTAAGGAGAAACACATTGTGTGTAGTAGCAATGAACTTGTGAAACCATTTAGGCTAGATAATTAATTCCTCACCTTGCTTACAAGTGAACACGGGATCATTTTCAAGGGGACACTTTCTCATTATCACCTCCCAGCCCACGGGATATTTAAATACCACTCGGTCTGGGGGAATTATAGTACAAACAGGAACAAATACTAGGATTTTATGTGTGAGTTTCCATTCGATTTTGACAGCAAGCCAAATTTCGACTTAAAATTACAAATAACAACAAGCTTGACAAGCCACTTGACACCCTGAAATATATAGTAACTGAGCCAAGCATTGGCGTCATTACTCTACTCCACTCTCTGCCATAAATTTTATGGCTATTCCAGCCATTTTTCTCTTCTTGGAACTGTGACCCACTGAATAAAGAATATCCACAGCAGGCCTTGTGGGGTTCTTGTGGTAGTCTGGGCGTTCTGTGGCCTGCGTTTGCCCCCATAGTCAGGGAGTGACAGAGAGGGGTGTAGGGCATGTGTGCCACGCTGTATTGGGTTCTGCTGACTGTCTCTTTTGGCAATTGTTTCCATTACATGTGACAATACAATAACTTTCAGCGGGTTGAGTAAGAGGGCCAAACCACCACCTCCAACAGTTCCACGCCAAAGACTATAAACGCTTTGCCGCACAAACTTGTAGCCTGCAGGGCCGGGATCCCACGCCACGCCGAGAAGTAACCTCAAGGTTGTGTGTGTGAGAGAGAGAGAGAGACAGGCTGTTGTTACACACTCACTTTACTGTATCTGAAGGAAAATAGGCTGTGTGTTGCTGTGTCAATGCTCCTGGCAAAAGGCAGACTTCTGAAATAACCAGAAACCCCCCAAATGTCATGCAGTGAATATGTCTGTTGTCCATAGGAGCAGGTTAGGGCAAGATCTCAGATGTACATTCTGTTAAGGCCATTTGCTCATTGTGCACATTAATGGAAAATCCTGGGTTCAGTAAAAGTTAAACTCTATTGACCGCACTTGCGGCACAATGTCGATTACCGCAAAATATAATATCGGCTTGTCCGTGATTATCTGTATAAAAACCATTAATCAGGGTTACAGTGAGATTCTTACAATGGAAGTGAATGAGGCCAATCTGTAGATGTTAGGTTAGCCGCAAGATGTAAACAATATGTTAACGTGAATTTGTTGTGAAAAACTTTTGTGTGTGTTGTTGTCACGCTTTGCTTACGGGAGGAACGAGGAGATTGCACAAAACGAGAGTCTTTAATAATCCAACTGGGAGAGACAGAGCACAAGGATGACGTTCAAGGCCCGACAAGGAAACATGAGGCAGACTACACATTTATACTAAACTTAACGAGGGACAGACAGGTGCGGGGAATCAACTAATAATGAGACAACGAGAACAGGAACATGACCAAATAAGGGAAGACTGAAACAGAAAC